TATTTTCAAGAACACACGCCTAAAATTTCAAATTATTTGGATTCGTAAAAAAAACATTAAAATTCAAATACGAAATGAGATCGTGATTGTCAAATTGGCCCAAATTCAATCTGGGTTGTTGGGCTCATATGAACACATATGTTCATATGAGCTAGTGGGGTAATCTCAGCATTTTCCTATATATATATATAGGCAATGATTTCATGAAACCGTTGTATAGTAATATGATGCAATAACCTTAAAAAACCATCTTATAGCCATTTGTTTAATTCAAATCATTTTGGTGAGATGCTTAAATCTCGAAAGTATTTTTTTTGAAATTGAAAACACAACCCATAAAGTATTTTTTTAGCCCAATTAACATAGGTCGTTCATTTTGGTGAAATGCTTAGATCTAGGCCTTAGAAGGATTTTTTCATTTCCAATTTTTTTGGATGGCTTTATTATCATTAGATGAACAATGTTAAAAAAGAAAAAAATGATTTTGAGTTTATAGAGGCTAAGATCTTGAAATTCACAAAATGAATAGTCTAGATTCGTTTTTGGAGGGGACTCATTTTGACTATATCTAGGGTTTAAATTAAACTTTTTTTTTTGGGGGCATTGATTATTGAGATGAAGAATATGTGTGCAAAATTTGGGGTCATACAAATACCACAAACATGGTTTTCTAGAAGTGTCGTTGCATTATACTATAATACAACCATTGCATTGGATCATTGCTCTATATATATATATGGGAAAGTATAGAATGAGATCATTTACCTTTAGTACAAGGTGAGACATTAATCTTGACCATTGGATGTGAAATTGGATGGCTGTACTTATTCCATTGACCAAGCTCAAACTTCAAAAAGAAATTTTCTCGAACTTTATGACGCATCCAAGCTATCAAACTCCACATCGGATGGTTATAAGTAATTGTGACTATATATATATATATATATATCAGTATTGTACATTGGTTTTAATTTCGCTTGCATAGAATTGTTTACACACACACATACGTACATTTAGGCATCCATGGTTGGGAATTGAGGAAATATTTGCTTTTATTTCATGAGTTTTAGTGTGGAAATTTGCCTTATATGCCAGGAACAATCAAAGTTATATCCGCAAGGTTCACGAGATCCGGTTCTCCTCTGGTTGTGCTAGCGACTCGTCATGCATTTCTTTATGATCTGAACCTGAAGTGTTGGCTGAGAATAGCTGATGATACCTTCCCTGCATCAAATTTTACGAGTTCATGGAATCTTGGTTCCTCTCAGAGTGGTGAACTGGCAGCTTTACAAGTTGATGTTGGCAAATTCCTAGCTAGAAAGCCTAGTTGGAGCAGGTTGGCACACCTTTCTCAATGTTTAAAAAAAGGAAAGAAGTGAACTATATTTAATGGACTGTAGGGAACCATAGTCCCTTGGGGTGATGGCTGTCCAGTGAATTGATGGACAATGGAGAGAGTGAGTGAAGGGGGGCAGGGGAACCCACCAGAACAGGTGTGTCCTTGATGGTGGGTGTCAATCTCTACTTATCAGCTTCTATCATGTTATTGGATGGTGATGATAATCCCAAGGGACTGTTGTTTTTCTATGTTCAATTGCATCATATTACACTTTCCAGACTCTGAAGCGGTAACTTTTTGTCTAATTACTGTGGAAGGTGATATTCTGTTCTTCATTGTGTACATAGAAGTATGTACATGTTCTATGTATCACTTGACTGGTATTGGGATATATTTTTGCTTAAATTGGATTCCTAGAAGTTGGAATTTGACATGAATTGGTTAATGTACATTTACAGGGTTTTGACAGATAATGGGGTGCAGACCCGAGCTCATCTGGAGTCTCAGCTAGCATCATCCCTAGCTTTAAAATCACCTACTGAATACCGCCAATGCCTCCTATCATACATCCGATTTCTTGCAAGGTCTGTGCTAATATACATCTTCTATTATTTATGTATAATCTCTCTCTCTCTCTCTCTCTCTCTCTCTCTCTCTCTGCTTATGATTTGTTTATACTGTGTTTATGCAGAGAAGCAGATGAATCTCGTTTACGTGAAGTGTGTGAGAGCTTTATTGGCCCCCCCACTGGGATGGTTGAATCTAATTCTTCGGAGACCAATAACCCAACGTGGGATCCCTATGTGCTGGTCAGAATACGGCCCTTAGCTCTTCATCTCCTCCTTTTAGTTAGCATCATTTCTTGGGCTTTTCATTTCCATGGTTTAACAACAAACATGCCGCCAGAGTACCTGATTTCCCCCTTTTTTTTTCCATATCTGTTGGCCTTATTTCTTTGGTTTTTATGTCCAAACTACAAACATGCCCCTGATTTCAAGAACCTAATCTGATTTTTAAGAAGTTGGCCTGAAGTACCTTCTTGTTATATCTAGCTAGGAGGGAGGGAGGTAGCTACATGGTTTTGTTTGATTCTGAAAATGGGCGATGCTTTTATATCATCTTGATAACCTGAAGGCCCAGGATCAAATGGATGCTAATTTAGTAGTTTTTAAGCAGCATATGAATGGTTTTTCTATCATGTTATTTGTCTGAATTATTGTGTGTGAGCAGGGAATGAAAAAGCACAAACTTCTTAAAGAAGATATACTTCCCGCCATGGCTTCAAATAGGAAGGTGCAGCGATTATTGAATGAGTTCATGGATTTGCTTTCAGAGTATGAAACTGGGGTCGACCAGGAGAAAATTGCAGATCCTGTGAAAGACTCATGAGCTTGTAAAGGATGGGAATAATCTAAAATTGGCATATGGGGCTCAATGATTTTTGTATTATAGTGTTTTTTTAAAAAAATTATGTGGGCACAGGGGATGCTCATTGCTCTCAGTTTTGTATCTACGTTGATGTTTCTCATTTAGGTTGACTTCCATTAACTCTCCCCACTTGTAACCTTTTTGAACTGAAGCATTTTGCTCTCTGATCATTTTGCATTGCTTGCGTAGATGAAGTAAAAGAAAATATTCCTCAGCCCTCATGTGAATGCTCGCTCCCCTTTTGATTTGCTCTTTGATCATTTTTCATTTTGTAGATGAAGCAAATGAAAATGACCTATAATACTCATGCGAATGCTCTCTCTTCGTCACACGGACACATTTAATCAATTTTGCCATTTCTCCGTCTCATGTAATTAGTGTGCCTGCAACTCTACTCCGATGTGTGATATGCCCGAGTCTCAAAACTTGGACAAGATCTATGTGTGCCACATAAAGAGATGAGAAAGCATTGTATGCGTGTGTGAGAGAGACAGAAGTTCATAATGTACTCTAATTATAACACACAAAAACATGGAGAGAGAGAGGGGTTTGTAATGCATCCCATTCAATATGTTCTATTCAACAAAGAGATTTGTTATGTACTCAGCATTAAAAAGAAAAAAAAAGTTCGTAATATGCTATATACAACCGAGAGAGAGAGTGATATTTGTAATATGTGTCAGACAATTCCAAAACTGAAGGCTTGAGAGATGTGTTTGTAATGGAATTCCGATAATTCCAAAACTGAAGGCTTGAGAGTTGTGTTTGTAACGTGATCCCGATAATTCCAAAATTGGAAGCTATTTCTTATCGCTCTTCTACTTCCATTGCTCCGTACTCCTAAAAGTCGCTTTGCTCAAAAAGTTCAAACCAAAGCCAACCCAATGAGACCAAATTCCTCGATACCATGCTGCCAAAAAATCAGTTGCGGAAAACCAAAAAAACAATCACCCGTTGCTCGCTGTCCAACTGGGTTTTGCTCAATAACCATCAAATAATAACGGGTTATCATTCTCTCTCTACTGAGTTGAGAGAGAATGATGATAATTATACCAAATCCCAACTGGTTTCTGATCAAAACCCACAACCAGATATCTCTTTTATGAACAATTTCCACCTCTCTTCTATTTTGAAATATTGTAGTACTTTCTCGGACCAAATTCTTGGAAAAAAGATTCATTGTTATAGCATAAAATCTGGTTGTGAAGCTGATGTTAGTGTGGGAACTGCACTTCTGGACATGTATATGAAATGCAAATATGTAATAGATGCACAAAAAGTGTTCGATAAGATGCCTGAGAGAAATGTGGTTTCCTGGACTTCATTGTTTACTGGTTATATATTGAATGGGTTTGCTGATCTTGTTATTGATGGTTTCTCAGAGATGAAGAGAGATGATGTGAAGCCAAATCCTTTCACTTTTGCCAGTGTTCTCTCTGCTTCTGCAACTCTTTGCGCAATTGCGAACGGGATTTATGTGCATTGTTTGGTAATAAAACTTGGTTTTGATTCAATTGTATTTGTTGGCAATTCTCTTATAAATATGTATTCCAAAGGCGGGATGGTTTTAGAGGCTCGAGCTGTCTTCGAAGGCCTTTTGACTAGAGATGAAGTTTCATGGAATGCTATGGTGGCTGGGTATGTGCACAATGGGTTTGAGAGAGAGAGTCTCGAGCTTTTTCTCCTTATGAGAGATGCAGGTACAAAGCTTACACATCTTAGTTTTCCTACTTTGCTAAAAGTTTGTGCGAGTCTTAGAGAATTGAGCTTAGCTAGGCAGCTTCATTCATGTATTATAAGAAGTGGATTTGTATCAGATTTTAGCGTGAGAAGAGCAATCATGGTGGCTTATGGAAAGTGTAGAGAGATGGATGACTCCTGCAAGATGTTTATGACCATGTCTGATTTCCAAAATGTGGTGTCATGGACTGCCATGATCACTGGTTATTTGCAAAATGATGGGATTGAGCAAGCTATAGACCTATTTCTTAGAGTGAGAAAGGAAGGTAGAATTAGGCCAAATGACTACACTTTCTCTACTATTCTTACTGCTTCTCCTTCTCTATCACCCTTCCAAATCCATGCCCAAGTAATAAAAACTGGTTATTTGACATATCCAACTGTTGGAACTGCTCTTCTCACTGCCTATGTCAATCTTGGGAACACTCAAGATGCATCCATGGTTTTCAGAGAGATAGAAGAGAGAGATACAGTTTCTTGGTCTGCAATGCTTGCTGGCTATGCCCAAGCAGAGGACCCTGAAAGTGGAATGAAACTGTACCAAGAAATGAGGAGAGATAATGGAAAACCCAATGAATTCACATTCTCTAGTGTTCTTGATGCTTGTTCTAGCCCTTCAGCTTCAGCTGAACAGGGAAAACAGTTCCATTGCAGCTTGATAAAGCATGGATTCGAGAGCGCTCTCTGTGTTAGCACCGCTCTTGTATCAATGTACTCCAGGCGTGGAAGCATAGAGAGTGCACAAAAGGTTTTTGAATCTCAATTAGAGAGAGAAAGAGACCTAGTTTCATGGAATTCAATGATTGCAGGCTTTGCTCAACACGGGTATGGCCATAAAGCTTTGACGATCTTTGAGAGCATGCTTGAAAAAGGCCTAAAAGTAGACGGCTTCACGTTAATGGGAGTTCTCTTGGCTTGTACTCATGCTGGACTATTAGACAAAGGCTCCAAATACTTCAATTCCATGACAATGGAGCATGGTATAAGCCCAAGTATGGAGCATTATGCATGCATGGTTGATCTTTATAGTAGAGCAGGCAAGCTAGGAGAAGCCATGGATCTCATAAACAAGATGCCATATGAAGCTGGACCAACAATTTGGAGAATACTATTGGGTTCTTGTAGACTTCATCAAAACTTAGATATGGGAAAGCTTGCAGCTGAGAAGTTAATGGCTCTTAAGCCTCAAGACTCAGCTGCTTATGTTCTTCTCTCTAACATGTATGCATCTGCTGGAAACTGGGTTGAAAGATCCAAGATTAGAAAGTTAATGGAAGAGAGAGGAATTAAGAAAGAAGCTGGGTATAGTTGGATTGAGGTGAAGAATAAGGTACATTCATTCATGGCCAGTGATAGATCTCACCCTTTATCAGAACAAATTTATTTGAAGCTCGAGGAATTGGGATCTCTTTTGAAGCTTGCAGGCTATAGGCCGGATACGAATTTTGTGCTTTATGATGTAGAGGAGGAGCAGAAGGAGCATATTCTCTCTTTACATAGTGAGAGGTTGGCCTTGGCATTTGGTTTGATCAGCACCCCACATGGGATGCCTTTGCAGATTGTAAAGAACCTCCGGGTTTGTGGGGACTGCCATACGGTTCTCAAGCTTTTGTCTGAGATTTTAGAGAGAGAAATTGTGGTGAGAGATTCAAATCGGTTCCACCACTTCAAAGGTGGTTCTTGCTCCTGTGGAGATTACTGGTGATATTGCTCTGACTGTTTGGAAGAAATAAGATGGAGATTGAGTAAACAGGGTAAAGATCCTTGAAAGAGTGTTGAGAGAGACACTTGGAAGAAACAAGTGACAGATTTGAGGAAACAGGAGAGAGAGAGAGAGAGAGAGAGAGAGAGAGAGAGAGAGAGAGAGTATT